AGCTTTCATAGCCACCACTTTAAAGGMATTAAGACAAAAGACGCAGCACCCATCTGTAGTAAAAAACTTAACAAACTAAAAAATAACCTCAAGAAAGTATTTGCTATAGTTTGAAGACCAGACTTAGCAGCAGCATCTTTTGCAAACTGAGCTGGACTAGTCTGTGCCAGCATCTGAGCAAAGGAGGACCAGTCTGAATATAGAATAAGCCATACGCATTTTCAGCTAAGAGCTCTACCCATATGCATAGACAGATGACAATCACTGGACACATTACCTAGAGGTTTTTAGCTTTATTTTTAGAATATTTTCCCCACAGCTTTTACCAGGATTTATTTAGGAAGCTGGGAGCTCTGTGTGCAGGACTGACCAGTAGCCTCCATAGCCCCACAGAGTCAAGTTCTGCATACATAAATTTCATCCATAATACATAATTTGCATACATAGTGCACTTGTGACCTATGATTTAAATCCAAAAGCACATATGCAGTTTTATGTGCAAACGTGCTGCTCCAAACTTTCTGTAAGCTCAAGCTTCCTAAATCCAGAGACATGGCCAGCTCATGYGCAAACTTTCATATCCCACACCCCCCCAGCTCAAAAAAAATGCTGCAATCCTTTGTAATAAGACATATCTGGCAAATGAGTCACACTAGTTATTTCAAACTGAGGGTTTAAGAGGCTGGGTTTTTCCTAGGTTACCACGGATTATCACAGACTTCTGCTTTTTAGTTTTCCAGCATTCCTAAAGTGGGGAAGTAATTTTGAGGAGACTGAACATGGCCTAGAACAAGTGGACAGGGGTTTGCTTTCTTTGGAGAAGTCTCCCGAGTAGGCAGTCAGTTTCTGATTAGGTAGTGAGGATGTGAAGCGCAGCAAACTGGCTGCTCTCTGATAGCTGCTCAGCCAGCAGCCATGTGTTTGTTAAACACAYGAGGATACAGTTGCTGAAAAATTACTGTTTCGCTCTCTGTTACTTAGATAGTGTGGCATCTTTCTAACCAGAACTAATCTATAAATAATATTGACTCCTGTGTGTATGCACAGTATATCCAAATCCCACAGTATGAAGAAGAGACTTTACAAGCCACTGTGCACTGACTGGTGAATAAATAGCCTAAAGGCAGGCAATCCATGCTGCACTCTACATGTATTGTACCACACTCCATTCATCTGTCAAATTCTTACTCTCTTGCTGTGCCCCAGTTCCCCATCTGCAAGAAAAGAAAAAAATAACATCCCTAATAAAAAAAAAAAAAAAAAAAAAAAAAAAAAAAAAAAAAAAAAAAAAAAAAAATACTCCGACAGCATTCCTACCTCACCAATTTTTTACATTGGTAATATAAACAATATAAGCAAAAATGTGAGGCAATACAATATTGCAGGGACTGATTGCCTCAAATGGAAAATCCAAGCCAGTCACAAAGTGTTAGACTTTGCAGAAATGTGTTCCTGTTAACCACTAGCCATCTCATTACTTAATTATCCAAACAGCTTCTGAAAATTAAGAAGAAAATAAAAAAGAAAATTATATTTGGTACATTTGCTTTGTATTAGCAGTGAAACTTTTATTTTCAAATTAAAATCCATTTTGATCCAACCCATTGACACAGTTTGAAATAATACTTAATGCATGAGTGGAAGACTTGCAACCCTCTGCTTGTTATTTTGTCATGATTATCTAAACCCCATTATTTTCTGAACAAGTTGAAGTGTTCAGTAGCTAATACAATAATATAAAGAATACAAGGTGTTATTTAAGTTGATGTGTCAAATTGATCTCATGTTTTATGTTTTTGAAGCAATCACAACAATTACCTCAATAAAATATCCCCAGGACAGCACACTCACCACCACCAAAGGAAAAAGCTTTATATAAGCATCACCAAACCTTACCTCAGCCTGAGAAGACAGAATGGGGAAAACTGGCACAATAACATAATCTAGATGTTTACTCTCTAGACAAGAACCAAGAAGCAAGACAATCTCGTTCTTAGTAACTCTGATAAAGACCATGGGRCATGAGTCATAGTTCGAGACAGACATACAGCTACAGTTACTGAGATATAAAAAAATTAGAGCAATCCTAACTGTATTCTCATTATATCCAAAGGAACCAATATTACATGTAACAACACCACACAAGTTGCAAAGTCAAGGATTCAGAAATTAGGAAATAAAAATTGGGGTTGTGTGCTCAGTTTTAATGTGGTTCTTTTGTGCGTATGATTTAGGACAGTCACTTTAAGTACATGAATATATATGCTGTTTTCCATAGGACTTCTGCCTCATTCATGATGGACATATTTCATTTTCTCTCCATCCTTTCCAGTAAATCCCATTTTTTCATTTTCAGTGTCCTGTAAAACTTTGCACTTTATACTACATTCATACAACTTTAATGTTTCCCACAAAAATATTCCTGAAAATAGTATTATCCTTTCCTTACCATGGGAAACCAAGGAAATGAAGCCAGTTAAAATAATTAAATATAAGTTACTGTAGAAAAAGACAAACTTTAATTAGCTGCACCTTTCAATTACTTTCTAGAATTAAGGTTGAGCTCTGTTGTTCATGTGCTGGTGCTTATGTTGGTTTTTTGTAAAGTCGTTCCACAGGCAGCTGCAAGTATACATTTTGGCACAACTGATGGTAAGACTGCCTGGACARCTGTTTAGACAGACAAGATTGTCTGAGTTCATACTCTCAGATAGTATTATGGATTAAAACAGCATCAGCAACACAATGTGCATCAAGATTCAACAGACTTTCTGTGGGTGGATGCTGTCAATTAYAGTACCAAGGAGCAGGGGACAGAAGATCAGTGGCTGATCTTACCTTTGTARCAGTTCAGTGCTCCTTTGGAGTCCTGTATCTGTCCCAGAAACTTACATAGAGGCATGTATGCTTCTATGTGACAATCTCAGAATGCAACATCCCTTGCTGTTTCTTAACTATAAACACACAAAACTCCCGTTCAGCTGGGCCATGCTACTTAGCTGCCAGCTGCTCAAGGTCAGTGAAGTAGGTGGTTCTGGGATTGAAGAGGATTATTTTAAAATGCTTTGTCTTTCTTATACATCTCCCTTGTCATATATTTGATTTAAGTTTGCTGACTTCTTTTTTTGGAATTTCCATACAGACTTTTCATCATTTAAAAAGTGACTCAGTATCTCTTTATTATAGCAGTGTTTCATTCACTCAATGTTCTGCATAAGCTCCTTTATTGCCCCCAACAGTGGTCTGCCTGCTTTCTGCTGTTTCTTCTAGTAACTGTTTGGCCTAGTCTTCAACAGCTCTCCTTTTGAGTACTATCTCATTTACTCAGTGAGAGCTGGGGCATTCTGCATGAAAACTCTCATCGTTTCAGAGGACTGATCACTCTCTCTGTAGTCTGGCTTGCTCTGGCTTCATTGTCTCACAGACAGGTCATGCACCTTTTGTTTTCACTTTTGTATAAATTAGTGTCTACTATGTTCTGTCTAACACCAGTACTTCACATGTTAAATTCCAGTAGTGGATACTATTTCTTTCACATGATCACTATCAATGTGGCCTAAAAACAGGGAAATTCTTTTCCTTTCTCTTCATACCTTTCTGTCTATACCAGTTTGCTCTCACAGATGTTGGATATTTTAGAGCCAAGTCTTTTTAACATGATTGTATGTACAAGATCTTTGCTACTGAACAATAATGCTCACTCTTTCAGAGGCATGTTCTTACTGGTAGTACCAAAYTTTTTGGAAAAGTAGCCTCTACTAACCAGCTTTCACAGCAGATTTCATAGGAGGTTGACAGCATGGTCTATGGAATGGCACTTTTGTTCCTGTCAGAGCTGTTTCRCAAAGCTCCGTGGTTAGCTTTCTGCTAATGAAAGGCTTTAGACTTGTATTTCATGAGTACTCCTAGATTTATATATATATTATACAGCTGTTTTCGGTGCATCACTTCTAGTGCTAATAAAACCTGTAATGTGGGACTTCCTGCACAGCATTCATGAATGCTACAGACAAGGTAAGGTTGCTGTAGCTGGCACTGCCAACATGCTTTCTAAATTTGCACCTTCTCAAAACAGCACTTTATTTGGTGAAAGGTTACCTTGAGCATGCAGCATTTCTTGCAATAACATAAATGTGACAAAACTTTACACATTGACAACACTTAACAAATCACAGCTCCATTCACTAAGGCTTTATATTGTATTACATGGAAACGCTGGGGAGAAAGATGTTTCGCTGGTTTCCATTTATGCGSTGGGGCAGCATTTTGTGCTCTCTGGGAGTCTCTGTCACATTAAGAAAACACTGCAGGGCGCGGAAAGCGTTGCTGAAGGAGCACCCGTCTGGGAGCGCCCCGGCAGCGGCGGGATGGCCCCAGGGGCCCCGGCTGCTGMTGGTGCCGCTTTTCCCGGTACTGCCTCACTCCTGCCCGGTTTCACCGTGCCCTTCTCCCCACCGGGACCCACGGCCGACCCCGCTCCGGGCGAGCGCAGCCCGTGCYTTGTCCGGGGCTGGCCCCGGCCCCGCTCCCGCCGCTCAGCCCCTGAGGCCGCTCGGGCAGCGCCCGCCACCTGCGCCCTCACGGCGGCGTTAGCGGGGAACGGAGCCCGCCGGCAGCCCGGGCCACCTCCCGCTGTCCCGGGACGGGACTGCCCCTCAGCGCTCCCWCAGCCCCGCCCGAGGAGCGCCAGGTGCCCCCGCCCGGGGCTGCCCGTCCGCGGCGCTCACCTCAGCTCCCAGGCGGGAAAGCCCCCGACACCTCGCTCACTCCATGCCCGCTGAGGACGGACGGATGGGCGGCGGCTGCCAGCGGTGCCCAAGGCAGGACAGGCGGGGGGGTGAGGGGGTGGAGGAGAGGGGTGGCCGGGGCGGGGCCGCTCGGACCCGGGAGCGCCGAGGCGGGTGCGGAGCAGGAACCCTCAGGCCAAAACCCACGGGAGGGCGGGCGGGGGGCAGAGTCGAAGCGCCCCGGGACGCCGTGCAGGCAGCGCCGAGGGGGGGATGGCCGGCGGGGGCTGCCCGGGCCGCCTGGCGCCGGTGCTGCTGCTCGCCCTGCTCTGGCCGGGCCGCGCCGCGGCGGAGGTGAGTGAGCGCCGGGACGGGGCGGTGGCGCGGGGTCCCGCGGCGGCTGCGGCTGACCTGGGGCAGAGCGGGTTCGGCCCTGCGGTCCCTGCTGTCACTGCGCTGCGTTGGCCGCTGGTGAGGAAGGAAAGGTGAATCCGTGTGTTTCAAATGATGCGCCTCCTCCGCGCCAGGTACGCGCGCCCGGGCAGGGCGAGGCGAGGTGAGGTGAGGTGAGGTACATCTCGCCCAGCTGCGGGGCACCGCTACCCGGACACCGCTGCCGGGCGGGGTGAGAACGAGAGAAGAGGCCCTGCACGGGGCACCGTGTCCCCGCTGGTCTCAGGAGCTTTCCGCCCTTCCAGCTGAGGGGACGGGACGGGACGGGGTGCGATGCTGGCTCCGYACCGCCACCAGCTCGGGAAGCGGCCGCGGAGGCCCGGCCTGCGGGCACAGGGGATGTGGACGGCGAGGACGGAGCGATGTTGGGAGTGGATGGTCCCCGAGGAAAACACCTCCGGAGCGGCACTTACCGTCTGGATCACCTCTTCACCTTCATGACAAAATCATTTTTCAGATTGTCTTTCAGGTTTAATTATGAGTGTCCATCACCGTTTGATCAACAAATTATCCTAGTCAATGTTGTAGTCTTTTCTGTGCCTTTCTCCTGTGTCTGGTGATAACATTTGGGTTGTACATTCCCAGCTGGAAGAAGAGCAGTCGGCTCTGGAGGTACCCAGGTCGGTGTAGCTCGCAACGCTTCTGGCAGTTACCAAACAGAAAACTGCCCGTTTCAGTAAATTTYTGGTAGACATCAAACACACTAAACTGACAGTTTCAAAATTTCTGATAGACCTAAAACACAAGAAACTGCCAGTTTTAGTAATTTTCAAGTTCTTTCTCCTGTAATAGTCAACAGTGTTAATTTCTCCTTGCATGTATGAGTAAAGCTTTAACACTGAACATGAAAAACTTAACTGCCTATCAAAACATTTTGAAGTTCACCTTTWTATGGAAAAAATGTGATCCTGTATTTTGTTTTTGCCACAGCAGAGACACATTCTGCTGTAATTATCTGAAGCAGTCTCATTAGTAATAGTGTTTCTTCTAAACTCATGCAACTCTTTCACTCACCCATTCTGGGTAGAGGGTCTGGAAACCGCATGAGCACTTCACACAATATGTTTGTTTTTTTTTTCATGGCACTCTAACTTGACTGGCAGTCAAGTTTAGTCATTTAACAAAGATCTAATTGTTTTATTTGTAATGGAATTAAAATACCTCCTAGTTCTTACGTAGAACAGAGGTACCAGATCTATTTGCAAAGTACRTGTTCTCTGCAGAGTTGTTTCAGCCTCTGTCTAGATCTGATACTTACTATAAAGCAAGATGTGGAAGATTAACAACTTGAGACYTGTTTATCTTCTGTCCAGTTTGCTGGGTTTTGTTCCATTCTCCTCTTCCTCTGCTGATACCTGCCATCCGTTGCCCTTGTTGCTCTGAAGAGGTGGATATCATCATATGGGCTTTTGGATGGCTTTTGGCAAGCACAGGCTGTGGATGGCTTTTGGCAAGCACAGGCTGTGTTCCAGGAATGCCCTCCCTCTCCCACAACACACTCAATTTTTTCTAAGCCTCTCTTCTGGCAGTTTTATCTAAACTCCTAATTAAATATTAGTGGCTGCTGTAGTTGACATGAGATAATTGATGAATAAATAATTGCATCTTGGCTAAACTGTTTATTGCAAAGAAATAGGTACAGTTAATGTTCTAAAATCATGCTACACTTTCATATGAAAATAAATTGATGTTTGACCAGCAAGCAATACTTTTGCTKTTTGCATCGATTAAAAAATGTTTCAACATAGAAAATTTTAGATGTAGCTTATTCCAGTAGACAGGAAAGCAAATTACTAATTTGTGCCTGCTGTTGTTTATACAGCAAATTTTAATCCTTGCAACTCTTCACAGAGTCCAGACTTCTCTGCCCTTAGGAGACTGAACTTTCTGGCACCTGCTAGGGAGTATTATTGTCTGCATTCTTGGCCACTGGCATGCTCTAATCACATCTTCTGAAAACTCAGCAGAAGTAGCATCTTCCCATGTCAAAGGCTTTTCAGCTTCTTTGATGTATTCCTTGACTTCAAATACTGGTGTTATAATTCTTCAGATTTTTCCACTGTTCATTTAAATATTTTAGAATCATCATCATCAATATGTTTTCACAGGGCACAAGATTCTTCCTATTCATCTTTTTTTCCTTCCAGAAAAAAATGGATATGCTTTTTCATTGCTTAATTTTGTCTAACACCACCTGGAACTGTTGGTGTCTTGATGCAAATGTACAATTCAATAAAYTCCCTTAACTGTGTCCTGTCTTTTGATACCACTTATCCTGTATATCTTCAACTTAAACACTAATGTAAAAACGTTCCCTGAAATTTGTTGTTTCAAATGATACTAAGAAGAAAAATACCTTGGTCAAGTTCATTAGTACTGAATCTATACTGCTGCTTTGTGGCATTRATCATTTTTTGTGATGGCATCATGCTAGTATTTGTTCAGAATAGGAGAAAAAGAGTTTCTGCTTGAGCAACATTACTTGCTTGCAAGTTAGCTCCACCTCATCTTACTACCACTTTTTAATTTGTATTGTAAATACTGTTACAATGTTAGCTCACAGGATAAAACTAAGTATGCCTTATTATGTTTTTGCCTCCATCATGACACTTCATATTTTTCATCATGTTCTGGTGGCAAAGGAGCGGACATAACAAAACTAGTGTTTGTAGGACTTGGGAAGATGTGTTTTGCATCCCCTTTCTCATGYTTATTGTCTGTGACTGGATGCAGTTGTTCATATTTCACAATTTCATTTCTTACAAATGTTAGAATTAGCATGCAAGTACTTAAAACAAGCCTTCTTTGCTTCCTAATAGCAATATTTTTTTTTCCTGATTATATGCAACCTCCATTGCTGTCACAGATTATTACATGGCTCTGGAAGAAAAAATAGTGTTCTAGCTCAGCTTATGCCCATCTCCAAGGCTGGTAAGAATGGCATGCAGCCTTAGTTTAACAGGAATCAAAGTTTTGGAGGCACAGAGTGTYACAGTGAGAATGTTCCTTCTCTGGCAGCCTTTGGAAGCACCCAGGTTCTTTGTTGCATAAGCAGCTGAAAAGGGAAGACATGCACCTGAATATACAAGAGAGTTCACTGAGCGTGTTAGAAAAACAAGTCCTTTGTGAAGTGCCCTCTTTGATTTGGTTAATGTGATCCCAGTTTTCCAGTCAAGGAGGGTGTTACTCTGATAATTGGGCCCAACTTCTGCTAGACTGTTCTACTCCCGATTGCCTCTATATTTAATTGTAATTCAGCCGTTACCTCCATAAACAGGCCAATGTCACAGCACTGCAGAGCAAGGCTTTTCCTACTGGGCCAAGAGGGGTGGCATAAATTAGCAGAATTTTCCTAATGTTTGTGCATCAAAATTGATGGAGTTCTGCTGGTTTACTTGCTCTGATGGCCAAATGTGAATTGTGCCTATGTGTGTGCTGCATCGAACAACTGAAAGATGAATCTTCTTAGGTGACCTTAGTAAACACCTGTGAAAATTGAACTGTTGACTGTTGTTCTAGCAAACCTACAAGACAAATACACATTTAAGCAAAAGTCTGTAATTCAAGTTGTTTTGCTGGTGGAATAGCACCATTAAAATTGTTAGGGTAGGTAAGCAAACACTGGTTCTTCTTTATTGATTCTCATTTCATAGAGATAGAACCATTTTATTTATGATCTGTGCTAGCGGTCTCTTCTGCAACACCCAGAGCTGATTTGTCATTACAGGTCTTTGAAACAGAATACTTTGCTATTAAATGCAACTAGTATGGGATGTCCGGTCATCTGTTTCACTGTCACATTCTCACCCTACTGCCTAACAAAGTAATACTAGAAGTATCTTGGCATGGATTACAGGAGCCTAGGAGGAAGGTGAAATACAAAAAGGCTTTTTCCTTAACTGTTTGCAGCCCCAGTCTCTCATAGTCACACTGAACAAGTTCCATTTTATCACATCTAATATGTTTTTAATTCCATTTTCATTATTTGTCTTAGCAATTTTGTGATAGGGTACAAGTCTCACAGGTTTACAGGTTTTCCATTTTGCCTGGTTTAGGCCTGGTGAAGGCCTTTTAGCCAGGGCTTTGTGCTGCATTTTTCCACAGATTATTTTGGAGCAAACTGCAGGAAGAAGTGACCTTTAATTTCTTTTAAATCTGTGAAATCACAGAGCCTTTCAAATAAAGAGAAACCAAAGCATGTGCAATACGCTTTCCCTGAACAAGCTACTGTTGCTTTCATTGCTGTTTGCACCACTTAACAGAAGATGCACACCAGGAATTTTATGAATATACAAATATACAGGCCTGAGGAGACAAAAATTATAGTGAATTCCATTCCCACACTCAGCAGTTAGGAAGAGATACAAAATGTGTGGTGTATACTAACCATATTATGGTATGTAAGCAAAAATTCACTTAAAAAAAGTTAAATGGAGTGTATTCTTTGTTATTAGATTGCTCTTTTAAAGGTGACTGTTAGGAAGAAAGAGCACGGATGAATAAGCTGATTAAACACCCTTAAGAGTTCACTACACAAAACAAAATTCTGTGGCCTGAATTGCTTAGTCTTTTTCCTTGGAGAAAGGAAGAATATTTATTTCGGTTGTCCCCATGTCCTCTTCAAGGTCAGGAGAAAAAACCCACCCCAGAGATGAAGTTTATGGCTCTGTCTTTGGAGATTTTACACACCTGAATATATCAGACACAGTTTGGTTCAATTTCTCATAGTCCTTCTCATAATGACTTCCAACCTAGTGAGGTGATTTGTAGAGTAAGGTCCCAGTCTTTATAAACATAAGTGTAAAAATGTTCTGTGGTTTAGAAGAAGAAGGAAAACCATCAATCTTTGACTAAAGAGAGAACTATTATATATCTTCTCTTTATATAACAAAAGGAATTAAATACCTTTCCCCCAATAAAATAGGAGATTTGAGAGCCTCGTCTTACGGTTTTCCAAAACTGCACACAATATGCCAGCTCTACTTACATAGATGCTGAGTGATTTTAGGCAATGTCTACAAAATAGGCCTTAGTGGTCATCACTACAGAGCTCAAAAATCGTTTTTGTTCATGAAAACTCGGTGTGTTTGTTTTTTTTATTAATTAAAATATTTTATCTCTTTTGTGCTAAGGCAATGATGATGACATGGGCAAAGTGAAGATTGCCAAGCCCTACATTTTCACATTTCTACCTTTTAACTGATARTGAATTGGAGAGAAGGAGAAGCTCAATATAATTAATAGTGTTGTATCTGCTTGTATGGTTGCCACCATGGGAGTTGCAGTTGGARCACAATTGCAATGAAAGAGTGGCATGTTTTCTCGAGAATAGTATGAACAGCTGTGTTACAGTGGTTTCTTGGAACTTCTGTACAAACAGGCTCATTCAAGAAAAAAAAGTTTTTGTTTTTTTTTTTTTTTATTGGGCTAAGTATGGATACTTATGAGAAATTTGGCTAACACTGCAAAATAAGTGATATATAAAGTTCTTACCCAAAAGGTTTTTTGCTGTAAAAAGTGAGGGAATTTTTTTCAAAATGGTTTCAATCTCTGAAGTGAAAAATGGGGTTCACACACATTTTCCCCTTGGTAAGTGTTCATGTACAGAAGCTTCTTCCATTTCTATCCACATGTCATTTAGCTTARTTGGTTTGAAATACCTTTATAAATATATCT